CCCCTTTTGCAAGCAGTGTTCCAACACAACTCAAGCCTTTTGGTTACAGCCCAGCCTGTAACTGGTTGCACCACCTGGGGACTCCGGTCGTTGGGCCCTGGAGGCTCCTGTTAACTGAGCTTCACCTGGCTCTATTGCCACCACCTCCGCCAGACCTGCCCCAGCTGCACCTAACCTCCCATATTCCCCAGAGCTCTGTCACCTTTCCCTGTCACTAGCCTTGGAACGCCACCTGGACAGTCTCTCTCGGCCCGCCCCCCCGGGAATCCTTCCCCTGGATTCCACCAAGGTCATGCAGTGACTGGTGTGGTCGCTGTTGGCTACTGAGGCCTCTTCCTGACTTAGTCCCTAAGTGTGGCTAACACAGAAACACCACAAGAGGGTGCCTTTCACAACCAGACAGTTCCGTTCTTGTCCTTCAGGGTGCCCGCTAGGGGACCACTTCCGCTCTCTGTCAGCTCTGGGGGAAGGGCCTTGTGTCTTCAGCTTTGGCTCCTGGTGGCACAGTGGTTGGTTAGTACCGGGCTGCTAAGTGAAAGGTTAGCAGTTCAAAGCCACCAGTTGCTCTGAGGGGGAGAGAAGTGGCTGTTTGCTCCCATGGAACCCCTCTGGGGCAGTTCTGTTCTGTCCTGTGGGTCACTCGAATCGGAGTCCATTCAAAGGCAGTGGGGGGTTCTCTTGGCTCCTTGCCTCTTTTGAACGTGTGTGTGTCCTGGGTCTTCCCTCCACGTGTGTGCGTCTTTCTCCGTGCCTAGTCTGGTCTTTATCTCAAAGGTGATTGGTTTAAAACACACCCTACACCGATCCAACTCAAAGCCAAACTGACTCAGAGCGACCCCGTCCTCTGAGAACTGTCCCTGCGAGTTTCGGAGGCTGTAACTCTTCACGGGATCGAAAGCCTTCCTCCCACAGGGCGACTGGTGGTTCCGAACTGCTGCTTTCCAGGTAGCAGCCCATCGCGCACTCCTCGGCGCCACCAGGGCTCCTCCGGCCACTGATAGGGCCTCATTCACATAAAGTCTTATTTCCAGAGGGGAACTTCTTGTGAGCACTCTCATCCATCTGGACTCATAGCGACCCTACGTGACACTGTAGACCTGCCTCGCTCAATCTCCGCGGGAGAGGAGCGGCTGGTGGGCTGGCCTTTTGGTTCTCGGTTGAGCGTTGTGATTCTGACCACGGTGCCACCAGGGCGCCTTTCACACAAGGCCGTGGCTGCTGATGGATTCTGACTCCTAGAGAGACCTTCCGTGACCGTGTGGACTCCTTCATAGGGTTTACAACACAGATTTGGGGAGTGGGGGGCACAACTAATCCATGACACTCCCATACAATCTTGGCCTTTGGGGGAGCAGGTCTGGTGATTTACCGTACCTTCAGGGTGTGGCACCAGTAAAGCTCCATAGAAGGCGTGCTAAGACAGTCTGTGAAAGGAATGTCGAAGTGTGAGGTCGCCCCTCTGCAGGACAGGGCTTGGTTGGCTCTGCCCGCTTAACGCTGGCCCTCTTCACCCTCCTCCAGGGACATGGGGAACGCTGATGGAGAACTGACCCACGACTCCCAGATCACGCAGGAGGCTGTCCCCAAGTCCCTGGGGGCCACGGAGCCT